GGCGTGTGCTTGACTTCAACAGGAATCGTCACTTTGAGATCTATCTACAGATGATGGGACACACACCTTTCACCCATAGCCACTTATTGGCAGTGCTCCTGTAACACCTCAGTGTAGTTTGTGACGTGCCGTTGACTGTGAATCATATTTTAAGTTTGCCCTCAGCTTAGGCCTTTCCGTAGTAAGGATTTTTATAATTAACCGAGGTTTCTGTAGGGATCTCGGTGAACATTTAGGAGAGTCAATTGACTCTTTTAAATGACTCTGGGGGGTTTAATTGATGCTTATTATTTTTACTTGGTATAATAGCATTTGTGTAGAGTGTTCGTTGCTTTTACTGTTTGTTGATTATATGTTTTTTTGTGTGTGAAGGCTGAGTGACGTGTGAGGTCAAAGTGGTCCGTAAATATTACAGTACTTTAAAACTTTGAAATTATTACTGTAGCTTCAGTAGGATAATGTTTAATGTTAACTCGGTGAAGCCATCACTGGGGGCCCAGTAGTGACGTTTAATGTAAAACTATCACTGGAGGTCCACACTAAACGTAACTATCAATTAAAACCTTACTTCATGGTTTCTGAAGATTATTTCATCCAAAATTTTCATTTAGAATTTAACGCCTCATACGATCGGTTTCAAATTTCCCCACGGGTTTTGTGCAACTCGGGGAAGGTTCGTGCAGCTGTTGACATGTATAAGTGTCCTCTGTATAGGTCAGTCGCGATTTATTGCTTCTTGTGATAACTTAAGAAAGCTTCTTCTGAACGGCTGTCTTTGTGTGGTAGTTTGTAAAGTGAAAATTCTCGCTTCTTAAATAGTTTTCGTTCTTATGTTCTCGGGTATATTTTTCTTTCCTTGAAAGTTTTTTTTTTTTTTGCTCGTAACTTGAAAAGGCCTCATCCGATCGGCTTAAAAATTTCAACGCTGGTTAACTAAGGAAAGGGTTATTGAAATATTGGGGTTGAGCAGGTGCCTTTTTCTTTTCCTGATTTTAGTTTCGATGTAATAACGTGAGGAAGTGTTATTTGATCATTTACAAACTGTCTTCACCGGTGTATCTGTTGGAGTATAGGAATCTGTTAAGTTTACTTTTGAAATGACGCGGTATTTTGCCCGTTAAATAAAGTATGTCTTTTCTGAATATATTCAGTCTTTAATTGCTGATGCATCTTATGAAAATGTTAACTTCTGGGGTTAGGATTTGTAAGCACACATTTGCCATTTAATTTATAGTAAAATCGAATTTATTGGATTCTGAGCAATTACTGAAGAATCTTGGTCAGCTTCAGTCTTTTATTTCACGTATTCTTGTAAAAGGAAGGTTGGCAGGGGTTGCACCAGGTCTAAATTATAATTTGCCAATTTTATTGACCAGATTAGTTTCAGTACAGTAACTGATCCGCTACAAACCTTAAACGCTGCTATATTTTCCTTAAAGAAAAGTTTTGATTGATTATGGGCTGTTTGTACTAGTTTCGAAATTTGGAAAATTGAAATTCTGATATTAATGCGATAATTTGTGAATGTCTCTTCCAATTGGCTTCAACTGGTAACTTGACAATACAACTTCTGAACGGCTTTAAATATAGTGATGCATTTTGTGATATTGAACTGTGTACTTTAACTAGAGAACGCCTCTTCTGATCGGGTTTAAACTAAGAAGATTGGAATTGGTTTTGGGCTGTGTGGGTGATAGTTTGCTATTTATATTAAAATAATTGTAACATTAATTTCCATGTGGTAACTTTGTGAGCGCCTCTTTTGTTGGTATCAAGTCGTCTTTGTTATGCTGAGCTGACATAGTCAGTGTCGTCAGTCCTGTCTTGACTTTAGGCAGAGGTAACTCCTAATAGACCACTCCCTGTACAAATATTATCTTCATCTATTTAAATACTTTTCCAAATGGCTTGAAGAACACCTTTCAGGATTGCCTCACAAGTCAGTATGACACTCATCTTGACAGGTGGTGATCGGAGCATTTAAGGGACAGTTGCTGTTAAAGCAGCACCTAGTGACTGTTGCATGTCACAGACAGCCAAGCTAGACTGGAGACAGTCTACCTGTGTAGTCCAGGCCTGAGTGACAGCTGGGAGTCTAATCAGTGATCCTTGGAAATCAGACGACATTGAGATCTGGAATTGAGATCAGAGTGACCACTGGGATCACAGCGAGTCTCACCCACCATTCGAGACTTATAAAATACGAATATTTTAAATTCTAATAAATTCAAAGGCAGTTTTACCATTTTAATTCAAAAACTAATTAACTGTTGAAATTTAAAACAGTTCACCGTTGTCCTTCAACGGATAAACTTGAAATATTTGTTTTGAATTATCAGCTGATTTAAGCAATGAGCGAGCTTCATTATCTCTTATCTTGTGGATATTTATATTTTCTTTATTGTCTTGTATGCCTCGTAAACATCCACGTTTGGAAAAGTACCAGAAACTCCAGGTTTAAAATTGATTTTATTTTAATATTTTGAAATGGTTCACAGTTGGCAAGGGTTTACTACAGTGATGTATTGGTTTATTACAGTGATGTATTGGTTTACTACAGTGATGTATTGGTTTACTACAGTGATGTATTGGTTTACTACAGTGATGTATTGGTTTACTACAGTGGTGTGTAAGGGTTCTTCACCCTAGGGTCGGTGCCTGGGGGTTCTGACCTTGGGGATCGGTGCCGGGGGGTTCTTGACCCTGGGGGTCGGTGCCTGGGTTTTTTTTTACCCTGGGGGTCGATGCCGGGGGTTCTTGGCCCAGGAGTCGGGACAGCTGACACGGTACATAGCCTACACGGAACTGGCTTACACGGGCAGGAAATTATTTGGATCCGGTGTAGTGCCGCTTCGCGCCGCCTCCTCCTCTTTATTGATAACTGATGGGGGAGGGGGAGGAGAGGGAGGGGTAGTCTTGAGGAGGGTGAGGGGTGGCGTAAGGTTGTGTAGGGAAAGGTGGGACGGAGATAGAGGGTATGGGGAAGGTTGGAGGGGGAATGGGTGGGGTGGGGAATGGGAGGGGGTATATAATGTGGAGTGGATGGTACATTGTACAGATAGCAGGCCACACCGAGGATATTTGTTGAGAATTATGTACCGTGTAAATTAAGAACCTTTCTGTACGTCTAGGATAAAAAAAAAGCAGAAGGCTCTTCCCCCCGCACCCTCCACTCCCTCCATCCAGCCACTACATGCAGAAGACGGGAAAACAATATACCAGAGTATATCGGGGAAAATGACATAGAATATACAGGAGTGATGGAAGTGGATGGAAGACATGGGCTACAACTACCCCTACTAAATTAGTACTGTTATTATCTTAAACTCCTGGTGGTACTCCACTGTTACTCACAGATCATAATCACCTACTACCACTTGTATTATTGATTTGATTACCTCGTTGTCAATTGATCGTCGTGATGTTGCTCAAAGGACATCAGGAATCTGTTCACTTCAGATTATGCTAGTATATTATCTAGGTGAACTCCATACTTGCAGAGTACTTGTCCAGCTGCTGCTTGAACTGTTTTTCGCTCTTACATCTTCACCGGGTTCTTTATTCCATATTGCCTTGGTTAGCAAAAAAATACTTTGTATACATTTGTGTTGCATATGTCTGGCAGTTGGGTGATGACGTTGAGGCTGTGGGAGGAGGTATAGGATGGGGTGGGTGGGATGAGATATTGGGTGGTTTAGGTTGGATGGGGAGCCTTGGGTGTGGTGCTGGTGGGAGTGAGTGAGTGGGTGTGCGTGGGGGCAGGGTGAGGTGGATTAGTTTGCGAGGCTGAGTAAGTGAAGTGTGGCTGGAGTTATCCATAGAGTTCTCCTCGCACTGTAGTGTCAGCAAGAGCTGTTCTGGGTACTCCACCTCCGCTACACTCCAGTGTTACTCGTTACACTCAGTGTACCTTGACACGCTCCGATATAGTGCACACACTCGCTAGTGTACCTCTCACTATTAGAGGAGATTAAATGGTAAGAACGTGAACATTGTGATAAACATTATGGTGAGAACATGTCTATGGTGAGAACATGGTCATGGTAAGAAATCATATAATCATATGTTCACTGAAATGTGGATAGCGTTGTACACTACACTCTTACATAATTTTGTAAATTTTCGGTATAGTGTATTCTTACAGTGTTGTACATTTTTACATAGTTTACAAATATGACTCGATTTGTTCATCAAAAGATAAATTTGTTTACCAATATGTATAGATAAATTGCCAGTTTCTGAAAATCGTGTTCTAGTTAATACCAGTGTGTGTGTGTGTGTGTTTGTCTCTTCGTCAATACCAAAGGTGTAGTGTTTCATTTTTAAGTATCCTTCCCGTCAATACCAGCGGTGTAGTGTTGCATGTGTTAGTTTCCTTCCCGTCAATACCAAAGGTGCAGTGTCAGGGTGTGTGTGTGTGTGTGTGTGTGTGTGTGTGTGTGTGTGTGTGTGTGTGTGTGTGTGTTAGTGCACATTTAATGCTCAGATGTGATAGTGGTGACCACATGTACATCGCACACTGTTGTTTTATGTTGTACTAAGTGTTGTGCAGGTGATGCGCGGGTGTTTGTCTTCTACAGTTATTTTACATATGTTAAATAAATAGTTGGTATTACAGCAGTTTACATATAGAAATGGAATGCCTATGTAAATAATGGCAGGATAGAATAAATGCAACCTGGAAACCAGAAATACCTTTATTAACTTTCACGTGTTGCCCACTGCGGTCTTTTTTCGGTTCTCACTCTTGATAAACCTCTACGTGAACAAAACGTCGTCGTTAATGAAGGTATATTTTGCCTCTAGGTGACATTCACTCTGCTTAATATATATATATATATATATATATATATATATATATATATATATATATTATATATATATATATATATATATATTATATATATATATATATATATATGCTGAGTTACTCTTCAGAGGGATGCTGTACAGGTGGTGGTGTAGGTGTTATACTACTGCTAATTTGGTCTTCCTTGCAGGTTCGGACGCTGTTCGTGAGTGGTCTGCCCATGGACGCCAAGCCCAGAGAACTGTATCTCCTCTTCAGAGCCTACGAGGTACGTACCATGCGCTATTTCTAAACTCAGTGTGTTCTACAGTCTCTTGCTTTGTGGTGGTGTGTAAGATATCTTATTAATGAGAATGGGATACCAGAAATATTAAATTTTTCCAAATTTGCCTGTAACAGATAGGGATTTAAATTCAGATGTTGTGTATTCGTGTGTTGTTGCGGTACCATTCACAGGATGGATATGAGGCGCACAAAATCTAAAAATATGGTGGATTGTCTACTAATACATTATTCAGTGTTATTCATCCATGTTCACTCTTGGTCTTCATTGTTCTCCTGTTCACCTTTGTACTTCAGTGTTATTCATATATATTCTCTTATTCTTTAGTATTATCCATCCATGTTTACTCTTTTTCAATATTATTCCCAGTCTTGTTCTCAAATTTTGAGGGCTTTCTGTACTGTTGATATTTACTGTGTTTTTTTTACAGTTATTCACTGACCTGTGTTCTTTGCTGGTGCTTTTACTGGAATGTTCTTTGCTGTGTTTATTCATTTATCTTTTTTGTTTTAAAGGTTTCATAGTGTTCTGTTATTATATGTTCTTGGGAGTTGTATTGATATGTTGTGATCTTCACTGATTTTAGTATCTTGACCATTATTAAAATGTAACCATTACATGTGTTCTGCAGTGACCATCTCCCTCCTCCCTCCGCATGTTTGCTCTTTACTGCATGTTCATAAATTGGTTAAATAATTTACACTTCCCCATCCCAGTATTATTCACTGTTCACCTCAGCTGTAACAATGTGTTAATGTTCTTATGTTTCCTGTTGTTGCTCAAACACTTGTTGATTTACGTGTTAGGTTGGACGTAAATGTATTATTTTTTAAGAGCTTTACACGTAGTGTTAGGTGAAGTTGACCAGGTGTTAGGATCGTAAGAGGACCTCTGGCTTCCACTGGTCTATGAGGGGCCTCTGGCTTCCACTGGTCTGTGAGGGACCTCTGGCTTCCACTGGTCTATGAGGGGCCTCTGGCTTCCACTGGTCTGTGAGGGGCCTCTGGCTTCCACTGGTCTGTGAGGGGCCTCTGGCTTCCACTGGTCTGTGAGGGGCCTCTGGCTTCCACTGGTCTGTGAGGGGCCTCTGGCTTCCACTGGTCTGTGAGGGGCCTCTGGCTTCCACTGGTCTGTGAGGGGCCTCTGGCTTCCACTGGTCTATGAGGGGCCTCTGGCTTCCACTGGTCTATGAGGGGCCTCTGGCTTCCACTGGTCTGTGAGGGGCCTCTGGCTTCCACTGGTCTGTGAGGGGCCTCTGGCTTCCACTGGTCTGTGAGGGGCCTCTGGCTTCCACTGGTCTGTGAGGGGCCTCTGGCTTCCACTGGTCTATGAGGGGCCTCTGGCTTCCACTGGTCTGTGAGGGGCCTCTGGCTTCCACTGGTCTGTGAGGGGCCTCTGGCTTCCACTGGTCTGTGAGGGGCCTCTGGCTTCCACTGGTCTGTGAGGGGCCTCTGGCTTCCACTGGTCTGTGAGGGGCCTCTGGCTTCCACTGGTCTGTGAAGGGCCTCTGGCTTCCAGTGGTCTGTGAGGGGCCTCTGGCTTCCACTGGTCTGTGAGGGTCCTCTGGCTTCCACTGGTCTGTGAGGGGCCTCTGGCTTCCAGTGGTCTGTGAGGGGCCTCTGGCTTCCACTGGTCTGTGAGGGGCCTCTGGCTTCCACTGGTCTGTGAGGGGCCTCTGGCTTCCACTGGTCTGTGAGGGGCCTCTGGCTTCCACTGGTCTATGAGGGGCCTCTGGCTTCCACTGGTCTGTGAGGGGCCTCTGGCTTCCACTGGTCTGTGAGGGGCCTCTGGCTTCCACTGGTCTGTGAGGGGCCTCTGGCTTCCACTGGTCTGTGAGGGGCCTCTGGCTTCCACTGGTCTGTGAGGGGCCTCTGGCTTCCACTTGTCTGTGAGGGGCCTCTGGCTTCCACTGGTCTGTGAGGGGCCTCTGGCTTCCACTGGTCTGTGAGGGGCCTCTGGCTTCCACTGGTCTGTGAGGGGCCTCTGGCTTCCACTGGTCTGTGAGGGGCCTCTGGCTTCCACTGGTCTGTGAGGGGCCTCTGGCTTCCACTGGTCTGTGAGGGGCCTCTGGCTTCCACTGGTCTGTGAGGGGCCTCTGGCTTCCACTAGTCTGTGAGGGGCCTCAGGCTTCCACTGGTCTGTGAGGGGCCTCTGGCTTCCACTGGTCTGTGAGGGGCCTCTGGCTTCCACTGGTCTGTGAGGGGCCTCTGGCTTCCACTGGTCTGTGAGGGGCCTCTGGCTTCCACTGGTCTGTGAGGGGCCTCTGGCTTCCACTGGTCTGTGAGGGGCCTCTGGCTTCCACTGGGGTCTGTGAGGGGCCTCTGGCTTCCACTGGGGTCTATGAGGGGCCTCTGGCTTCCACTGGGGTCTGTGAGGGGCCTCTGGCTTCCACTGGTCTGTGAGGGGCCTCTGGCTTCCACTGGTCTGTGAGGGGCCTCTGGCTTCCACTGGTCTGTGAGGGGCCTCTGGCTTCCACTGGTCTGTGAGGGGCCTCTGGCTTCCACTGGTCTGTGTGAGGGGCCTCTGGCTTCCACTGGTCTGTGAGGGGCCTCTGGCTTCCACTGGTCTGTGAGGGGCCTCTGGCTTCCACTGGTCTGTGAGGGGCCTCTGGCTTCCACTGGTCTGTGAGGGGCCTCTGGCTTCCACTGGTCTGTGAGGGGCCTCTGGCTTCCACTGGTCTGTGAGGGGCCTCTGGCTTCCACTGGTCTGTGAGGGGCCTCTGGCTTCCACTGGTCTGTGAGGGGCCTCTGGCTTCCACTGGTCTGTGAGGGGCCTCTGGCTTCCACTGGTCTGTGAGGGGCCTCTGGCTTCCACTGGTCTGTGAGGGGCCTCTGGCTTCCACTGGTCTGTGAGGGGCCTCTGGCTTCCACTGGTCTGTGAGGGGCCTCTGGCTTCCACTGGTCTGTGAGGGGCCTCTGGCTTCCACTGGTCTGTGAGGGGCCTCTGGCTTCCACTGGTCTGTGAGGGGCCTCTGGCTTCCACTGGTCTGTGAGGGGCCTCTGGCTTCCACTGGTCTGTGAGGGGCCTCTGGCTTCCACTGGTCTGTGAGGGGCCTCTGGCTTCCACTGGTCTGTGAGGGGCCTCTGGCTTCCACTGGTCTGTGAGGGGCCTCTGGCTTCCACTGGTCTGTGAGGGGCCTCTGGCTTCCACTGGTCTGTGAGGGGCCTCTGGCTTCCACTGGTCTGTGAGGGGCCTCTGGCTTCCACTGGTCTGTGAGGGGCCTCTGGCTTCCACTGGCCTGTGAGGGGCCTCTGGCTTCCACTGGTCTGTGAGGGGCCTCTGGCTTCCACTGGTCTGTGAGGGGCCTCTGGCTTCCACTGGTCTGTGAGGGTCCTCTGGCTTCCACTGGTCTGTGAGGGGCCTCTGGCTTCCACTGGTCTGTGAGGGGCCTCGGCGTCCACTGGTCTGTAGGGCCTTGGCTCCACTGGTCTGTGAGGGGCCTCTGGCGTCCACTGGTCTGTGAAGGGCCTCGGGCGTCCACTAGTTTGTGAGGGGCCTCGGGCGTCCACTGGTCTGTGAAGGGCCTCGGGCGTCCACTAGTCTGTGAGGGGCCTCTGGTGTCTACTGTTCTGTGAGGGCCTCTGGCGTCCACTCGTCTGTGAGGGCCTCTGACGTCCACTGCTCTGTGAGGGCATCTGGTGTCCACCATTAGTACTAAAAGCACCACAGCAGCACCAGCGATCAACAATTAGCCACTACTATTAACAGTTCCACTAGAAATGGTATCACTGACAGCAGTGCCACCACAACCACTACTTGCAGTAGCACCACCACCATTGCTTACGGCGGTGGGGCACCATCGGCAAGCACCTACCACCACTGCTCACCACCAAAGGAATTGAGACCAGCAAAGAACTGATGGAAGGGCGAAGAAACGGAGAGAAGAGCGAGTAATAGCAAAAGAATAGAATGGATGAGGGAGGGAGAAAGGAAGGAAAGCCGAACGGCAAGAGACGGAGAGGGAAGAACATCAGAAGGAGGTAGAAAGGTCAGAGGGAAAAGGAGGGAACTTCAGGAAAAGAATGGGAGGAGAGGGAAGAGAAAGTGAGCAACAGGAGTGGGGAAAGGAATGAAGAAATGGAAACTGGTTGAGCAGATGGGCGAGGGGAGGAGAGAAGGAAGGAGGGAGGAAGGGAGAGAGAGAAAGGAAGGAGAGAGAGAGAGAAGGAAGGAGGTAGAGAGAGAGAGAGAAGGAAGGAGGTAGAGAGAGAGAGAGAAGGAAGGAGGTAGAGAGAAAGAAAAGGAAGGAAGGAGGTAGAGAGAAAGAAAAGGAAGGAAGGAGGGAGGGGGAGAGAGAGAGAAAGAGAAGGGAGAGAGAGAGAGATAATGGAAGGAAGGAGAGGGAGGGAGGGAGAAAGAGAAGGGTGGGAGAGAGAGAGAGAGAAGGGATGGAAAGAGGAGAGAGAAGGAAGGAAGGAAGGTGGGAGAGAGAAAGAGAAGGGAGGGAGGTGGGAGAGAGAAAGAGAAGGAAGGTGGGAGAGAGAAAGAAGGAAGGAAGGTGGGAGAGAGAAAGAGAAGGAAGGAAGGTGGGAGAGAGAAAGAGAAGGAAGGAAGGTGGGAGAGAGAAAGAGAAGGAAGGAAGGTGGGAGAGAGAAAGAGAAGGAAGGAAGGTGGGAGAGAGAAAGAGAAGGAAGGAAGGTGGGAGAGAGAAAGAGAAGGAAGGAAGGAGAGAAGGAAGCTGGAGCCTCGCTCATCCCGTCTTATCACGGCTTGTGGGGAATTCTCATCCAGGTAATGTTGGGCCACTCAACTAATTGTGTTTGCGGGGGCTAAGCTCCAGCTCCTGGTGCTGACTCAACATTTATTTGACTACTGAAGTTCTTTTCTAAAGCCTTGAGTTCTCTCTTACCTACTTAAACCAGCAGGTTATTGAGTGCCCGTCTTACACCTCACCACTAAACAGCATTATATTGTTCATGATCATCTTGTTAGTCGTAGGCACCTCTTTCTCGTGGTACTATTTTATGTATGATCAGCTCCTAGTC